TATGTTGGAAGGGCATCCAAGCTTACTAAGGAAACCATAGTCTGAGAAAAGATATCAGTCATTTGCTCTAGAATGGAAGGATGCATTGCACATACCCTGGATTAATTTTGAAAACAAGACAAAACCAGAACAAGAACAATTAAAGAAAATATAGCCCTTGAGAAAAAAATGAAGGAGCAGGGCAGGGTTGTTTTGTCTAAAGAAGAAAAGACTGAGGGAAATATGGAACACCTTCATGGCTGTAAAAGCTCAGGTGCCATGAGAAAAGGGAATAAATTGTTCTTCCATAGAAGGAGGGCTTAAACTCAGTAAGAGAGCTCCAGATTGGATGTTGAGGATTGCCAAGGAAGATGTGGAATCACTCATGCTGCAGATCTACAAAAGCATTAGACAAATGACCCTCAGGTTTAGGCACAGTCAATTCTTTACTCAGGAAAGTCCATTACAGGCCTGTTTCCTAAAATCTTAAATTCTGTGCAGAAACAGATGAACTAACATTTGTAGACAAATTTCCTAGACTCTACTGTAATTCAGTTTAAAATCCATGTATAATGGCAGGTCAAACAACATCTCCAGGCTTGACTGTCACTAATTTTGGAAAGAACTGGATTACAATTTAAATATAAATTTACAGAAACTTTGAATATATTAATTCATAGAGTTAATTTACATTCCTCATTCTCTAGATTCCTTAAATCTATCAGATTTTCAGCTTTCAAAATGAAATGAAGTCTGGAAGTAAGAAACTACAGAGAAAGCACTGAAGTCTGAAATAAACACAGCAAGTCAAAATAATACTACAAGGGAGTTTTTTGAGGGGATGACACTGGTTTTGTGTGTGCATGCATGTCTCTGTGTTTGCCTGTGTGTATTTGTATATAAAACCAAAATACACATTTCTGCATGCATAAAATGACCAGATGGGAAAAATAACAAGCTTTTAAATCAAATTACTTTTGCATAAATTATGTAGTAAAGGATTTAAATACCCCCAGTCTATGTTTGCCATCTAAGACTGTACTCAACAACATCAGTTATCATTTATAAGGAATACTTATGGCTAAAAGGACTAACATTAATGAATGGTATGTTGAAGGAAAGTTTGAGCGGCCTCCTGGTACAAGATTAGCTACACCAAGAACTGAAAGATGAGGACCCCTAGTTGAAACTCTATTGGTCTATCTAAATTGTCATAACTATTTTTCTTTCAGGTACTGGGGAGCTTAAGTTAGCTGTCTCTCAGAAAGGATCTGAGATGCTAAGAGAACAACGTGCTATTCTTTTTCCATAAATTTACAGAATTAATGCGTATACTAGAAGGGAACAATTTAAACGATCAACAAAAGGGAGTTGGTTTTGAAGTGGAGCAAGACCACCATTTTTCCACCAGTGGAAAAACTGAGAAATAAGAGGTACTAAAGATGTATTGTCTAGAGTAGTAAAGGAAGACAGACTACAATTAACCAAGATGGAATATGGCCAAGGCAGGGGTCCAGCAAGCTCAAGTGGTCACAGCCACTAAGTACCACTCCACTTCCACAGAAGCCCCACCCATGGCAAATTTTGGTCAGGGCTGAATGACCGGCACAGCTTCCTGTAGCAGTTGACGTCTCTCAGTCTAAGCGCTGGTTCAGTTCCGTGCCGCTTGATACAAGAGATCTGGTGAGATTGGAAAGTTACTGCTGCGAGCCATTTTGAAGTGCTTATCAGGAAAATGCAAAATGACTAAATGCATATAGCTTGGGGAGAGTGGGGCTATTAATAGAGCCACTGCCAACTGATAACAGAGATACAAAGACTGTAAACCAAGTAGACAGAAGAATTGTTCTGAAGCCAAAAGAAAATATTTCTAAGAATGAGGGAAGAAATCCACTATAGTGACTTAAACCGAATACTAGAAAAATCCATCTCAATAACCAGATCTAAATCTTGGGAAAGAACCAAGGCTTTACTTAAAAAACTTAACTAAGATGAACTGGCCGCGTGCTTCAAGGTACTAACCTGTAATGGTCACCAAAGAGGGAACAGATGACTGATGAATATTCCCTATCCCCTAATACATAATTCTCTGCAAAATTTTTTACTTTTTTTTAAAATCTGAGGTCACTCTATGCCTTTCAATTGGCTATTGATCTTTATAAATACAATATTTGTGCTACAGAGTATTGCAGCGTAGCTACTGAAAGGACACCTAGTGGTAAAGAAACGAGTATGTCTAGAAAATGCTGGCACTGTTGAAGGTGTGTAATTATAATTGTTACGGGAATTGCTGAACTGTTATGGGTTAAATCTGCCTGAAATGTCATGTATGAACTTATGTGCCAAATAGCACTATTCACAGGTTTTAAAAAATGGCAAACAGCATTCTTACAAGCACTTTTTAAAAACATGGAATTTAAGCTTAACTTCCTTAAAACTCACAGAACAGGCTTTTAAACAAAACACGCACATGCCTGTGTGTAATAGACAACAAATTTCAATGTCGTGAATCCCCAGTGCATCAATTTTAGGAGTATCAGACAGCTGAACAGAACTCATTACAGATACGTTTTGTGTGATATTCAAGTCAAATTTCAGCCATCATTCCTTGGGTCCTCTATTGTGCCACTCTAAAATATCCTAAGCAATTCCTCCCTTCTCGTCTTTCTCTCCTATGAAGACAAACTGCCAAAGCATATAAACTGTACACATTCAAGCTAATTTCACTCTTTTTCTTTTTTTTGTCCACCCAACTTTAAAGTCACTTCTGGCCTGTGTTTATTCCACACCCCTTAATATGTACTAATGCCCTTGTGACCAGGAGATGCCCACAACAGAAAGCTGTATTCCAGATGGAGTCATGCTGGTCTCATGCAGAGAGGGATTATAACTTTCCTGTGTAGTGACATGCTGCCTCTGGGCAAACAGACCAAAATCCACACTTGGATTCCTTGTTTATGTCAACATATCGTATTACAAGCATAGAACATTTTGCTGACCACTGTCCCTCTTTGATTATTGTTTTCATGTTCTCTTTTCCAGGTTTGTCTCTTCTATTGAATACCAGTTCCTTTGGATTAATTTTCCCTGAGTGAATTAGTACGGATTTGCTAGGTCAGTTTTTCCAGATACATTTTATTTTATCCAATTTTATAACATCTCTGTTACGCCACTGGTCTGTTCTCTATCCTCACAGTGTTTATAACGGCTCACAACTTAGTACCATCCTTTGATTTAAGAAGCCACAAACAAGCCTTTTCTGTTCTTCTGTCCTCTTTCATCACCTCAAAGATCAAAACACTGGGATGGATATTTTTGTTTGCTTTTTTTAGGTGACTTCCTACCAAAGTATTTGTTTAAAAACCACCAGATTCTGCCTTATTTCTCCACAACTACAAGGAAGTAGACTGTGATGTGTTATGAAGCTGAGGCAGCAGCTCCTGCTTTTACCCAAATGTTAGCACCCATTCCTCACCCAGTTCTGTTTCCAGGGCTCACCTCTCCTCCACTCCACCCTTCTGAAGTTCCAGACTGCTCTCTTGTCTTAAAATGGCATGTAGTTTCCTTCCTTTACTATAAACAATGCTTTCTGTAACCTTAGTTTCATGATGTAAACATTTAAAAATAAGAATGAAGGGAACACAAACTATGTGTTCAGTTAGGTAATTTGGGGATTAAATTAGATGAAATCTCTCGAAACATGGAACATTTGAGAGTAATGAAGTCTGGTTTTACTTGTTTTCCTCTTATCCCATCCCTTTAAAAAAAAAGAAGACAATGGATCTTAGAGACTCTGGCAGAAGGGCAGTAAAGACAGTTTGTTGCTTGTGAATCCATGAGAACTGAAAGCAAAGCTCGGAGGAAGGGGCTGTAAGACTCAGGTATGTGTTCACAGGGAAAGAGAGGCACTCTGTAAACTGCAGGACGCTGGCAGCTGGGCAACCAGCTGCCACAGTTGACATGGGAGGCTCCTGCTATCAGTAATGTCACCATCTGTAATCTGATGTCAGCTTGTAAAGTGGCCTGCAGTCTGCCAAAGCCTCTTCATACTGCCATTTCTTTTACATTTAAATGTATCTTAAAAGCAAGAAACTAACCAACAGGTACTATTCTCCAGTCAACCCACCAAAAATATAGTGCTCCCTCGTATACACTGTGCATAATAAGGAATAGTAACAGGAAGGAGTAGTAAAGAGTAGTAAAGGAAAAACGTCCATTAAAAAAAAAATACTTCTGTTTATCTCTGCAGTCCACTGAGAAGTTTTGTTCAATTATAATCCTTCAGGTAGGTATTTTTCTTTCTTTTTTTAAGCAACTCTAGAGAGGATTTTCATTGTTAAATCCCTAATCCAGATTTTCCTCTTGTGAACTCTTCAGCAACAGAAGAAACTAAAAATGTCTGCAAATTCGGAAGAATCCTTGTTATGTACATCTGAACATGCACATTTGGCTTTCATTGTGTGGTGTGCCAGGCAGCTACAAAAACAAAGCGTAGCCTAGTACAGCTTTAGTCAACACTTTAACCTTTGGATCCCACTTATCCTGAAAGAAAGAGATCTTTTTGGCCTTTCAAGCACGCCCATTTCCTCTTGGCATCTACAGCAAACACAGGTAATAGGGTAGTTGCTTGACTTTCACATCGTATTTAAACAGGCATTGTGAACATGCACGATAATAGCTTCAAAAAGGGAGTTCAAAGTATCTACAGGTAGTACATCTGCCTCAAGACTCTTTGCTGGTTTAGGGATTTTACAGTCATGTTTTCCTGTTTCCTAAAGCCTACTGAGGAAGATTGGGGGTTATCCAATTATTTGGTGAAAAACACACAAATGGCAAACAAGGAAATGCACGACATTTGCAACGCAATATCCCATGCACAAAAATAAGTTCAATAATAGATTATTTACAGTTCCTTTATCAATATATAATACTGCTTGTTAATTTTATTCAGGTTTAGTACAAAAGAGCAATAAATTAGAGGGAGACTTTTAATGTGATACTGATATCTTAAAGAGACCTACCTTGAAAGAAACTTTTGACTCGGAGATAGCTGACACTGAGGCGCAAGACGGAAAGTTTGTCCAGCTTCGATATGATGTCAGGTGGGAAAGGCAGGAGGCTGGCCAGATGGTCCAGTTCTGCGTTCAGACGGTCCCTGTGTCTCTTCGAAGGATTTGATTTTTCATTCCCAACTGCAGGCCTTCTGTGGTGGAGAACACATTTTCGATTACCTGTTTTAACTCCACATAGTACAACTGGAGACTGAGATGATGTCTGCAATTAGTTAATAACAGGCATATTTAACCTAGCTCCTAGGAAAATTTTTAAAGCTTCTGTCCCCTGCCAAAAAGAGATTTATCATACTATATTTGCCGTAGTGCAAAGACATGGACATTGGCCTCTCTTTTCACATCTGCCCAGTAAAAAACAAAGAACTGATATCTCTTACTCAGGACCTTCTCACCTTAGGGGAATGGGTGCTATCTTCATGTTCTAATGAATACCAGGAAAAACAATTTCTCATCTATGTTGTACAAATGAGGGTCGGAACAGCAGAGGAAAATTACCGTGACTAATGCATGAACCCATTCAATACCCACTGTATTCATTCAAAGCGGCTTATTTTTCTCCATTTAATGACTCAAAGTTAACCTGTGGGTCAGGAGATAATTAAGAAAAGAGCCTCTCTATAGAAATGATTTTTAAAAGTATGGGAAGCAAGGTGAGAAGACATTCTTTCCTCAAGCTCAAAAACTCTGTGAACATTCTCACATTTGCCTTCCAACATCAGTAATAACAATGATAAGAATTCAATTTCTCTTTTAAGAACATTGATATTCCTCTCAAAACTTAAAAGTCCAATTTTACTCGCATTTCTAAGCCAAGCACTCCTAGTCCTTCCCCCTTTGTGTCCTTCTCATGCAGTGGACAGGACCCCATACCTCAGAAAAGCTATTGTGATAACACATTAAGACGAAATACATCACAAATAAGGAAGCTCACTTTTGGGATGTCTTAGTTTCTTATAGAATGTGTAAGATGCTGTTCTCAAGAGGGAGAAAAGGAAAAGCTGGTGCACTTGCAGACAGTCATGGGAACTTGATTTCCAGCATAACAGCAAGTGGTGGCCAGTGCTGAAGCACAGACTTGTCAATTAAGCAACAAGACCTGAGTGGTAAGTTTCAAAAGGTGGTTATCTCCAGCAGACAGCCATCACATCCAGCAGTAGTCAAAAAATGTGTTACCCAGGAATGAACAACAGGCCACTGGAGCCATAAGCTACACAGATCTATGATACTAGAGGGAGGGCAGCAGCCCAGTGCTGTAGCTGAGCTAGTGTCTCCCAGGGGACTTAGTTCTGTGTCTGCTGGTCCTCCATTTGCTCTCATAATCATCAAGTAGTTTGGGTTGGAAGGGACCTTTAAAGGTCATCTAGTGCAACCCCCTCTGCATTGAACAGAGACATCTTCAACTAGATCAAGTTGATCTAAGCCCCATCCAGCCTGGTCTTGAATGTTTCCAGGAATAGTGTATATACCACTTCTCTGGGCAACCTGTTCCAGTGTTTCACCATCCTCAGAGTAAAAAATTTCTTCTTTATATCTATTCTAAATCTTTCTGGGCTGTGAGCGGACATTGTCGACTCATGTCCAGGTTCTCATCCACCAGTACCCAAGTCCTCTGCAGGGCTGCTGTCAATCCCCCAACCTGTATTGATACTGGGGGTTGCCCCCACCCCAAGTACAGGACCCTACACTTGGCCTTGTTGAACCTCATGAGGTTCACATGAGCCTACTTCTCGAGCTTGTACAGATCCCTCTGAAGGGCATCCTGTCCCTCAGGCATGTCAACTGCGCCACTCAGCTTGGTGTCGTCTGCATTAAGCAGGACTGGTTCCTGTAAGGACCCCACGTGTCACTAATCTCCATTTGGACATTGAGCCATTGACCACTACCATCTGGATGCAACCATCCAACCAGTTCCTCAACCACCAAGCAGTCCACCCATCAAATCCATATCTCTTCAATTTTGAGAGAAGGATGTTGTAGGGGACTCTGTCAAAAGCCTTACAGAAGTCCATAGCTCTTCCTTTGAGCGCTGATGTAGTCACTCCATCACAGAAGGCACTAGGCTGGTCAGGCAGGACTTGCCCTTGGTGAAGCCATGGTGGCTGTCTCAAGTCACTTCCTTGTCCTCCATAGGTTCTAGCAGGAACTGTTCCATGATCTTGCCAGGCACAGAGGTGAGGCAGACAGGTCGGTAGTTCCCAGAGTCCTCCTTTCTACCCTTTTTTAAAATAGACGTAATGTCCATGTTCAAGTTCTTAATGTAGCACATTGCCACATTCCTACTGAGGCACCTTCTCCAGAATAAGAGACATTGAGAGAAAAACCAAGGAGAGAAAGATGGAAAAATACTCAAGAATGAGAAATGGTAGACAAGGAAAATATGGGTGTGCTAACAGCTTCCACTTTCATCTCACTAAAGGCAAAGATCATAGCCTTATGTAGCTTAGCTTGTGCTTCAGTGGAGAATCAGAGTAAAACTATTTATTTGTAGCACTTTACTACTGCTTTTCTACACTCCACACATTTACTATATTTTTCAATCATAATTTTAATTTTGAATACATATTGGGCACTAATCTTTTCGGAGTAAACCCCGAAGTTCAGTGATCCTCACTATGACACCAAAAGGATGTCTGACTTGTGGAGAGCAGTAATTTTGTGGGAATATAGCCTATGGTTGAGTAGAGGCTAAGGAACATAAGCTTTAATAATTGCTTTTTACATCTGACAAACCAGCTAAAGCAAGGAAGCAATTAAGGACAGAAAAAAAATTAATTCCAATAAGGAAAATTAGACTGATGAGTTCAAGGGATAAAAATTGTCAAGAATAACATGGAATAGAAACATAAATTGTTCAAACCTATTTACCACACACAAATAGTGACTGTTCTGGGCCAGGGAGTTATGGTTTGAGGCAATTATGTGAACTGCATTTGTACTGAGCGTAAGGACCAGTTTTCTGGAGATTGTAAGGAGCGGCGTAAAAACACTACAGGAGAAAGCTGAGGACAGAGTCTTCCTGAAAACTCAAGGAAATGATTCAGTAAGGGAGTGAATCCAAACAAACAGGGGTTTGATGTAAATGGGAATTAGGTGCCAAGTGGATGCAATTTAAAACAATGCAAATTCCATGGAAAGGCTAGCTTAGCGATCCATAAACAGAAAAGGGCAGGCAGGGAAATTCTTCAATGAGCTGTTTTGAGGCAAATGGAAATTCTAGCCCTTATTTTGAGCTGCAAGTAGAAGGTGCCTGTTATGTTTGCTTTAAAACAGGGATTCTCAAACTGTGTAAACCAGGTCGAAGCAAAGCCATTAGCACTCACTCTATGATACCCCTGTCCTCTGCTTTTCGTGCAACACGGCTACCATAAAGTAGCACGTGTAATTAAAACAATAAAGCTGGCATTTCCTTATTTGCATTGTTAAACCTTCCAAATCCTGCTCTGCAGTAACAAGCACTTGTACTCATACAAGACCCACCTGCTTGTGGGAGCTGGTGCAGAGAACGTTTTCTGTTTTGGTGGTACATAAGGCATTGAGCCTTTTGTGCTTCAACGATTCAGTGTGACACAAACGGCCACTAGAGTAAACCAGTTTGGTGAGCTTGCAGAGGAATTTCCTGCAGCTACAGCTCTGTCTGCTGTTCACTACCCTCTGAGGGAGCCCTACCCTCTTAACGAAAAGTTCTCTCTGAATCAAGTTTTTAAAGTATGCTGAAGTGTTAAACCAGCAGATGACCTAAACTGAGAAAAATCTAATCATTTACTATGATGGCAAGGTTTCAGTAAGAAGGGAAAGGAAAGAGAGAGACCATGAGATGCAACAGATAGGCTAAGTACAAAGTAACAGCAAGATGACTACCATGAAGGTACTGCCCAGCACCCGCAGCCATTCAGCTGTCCTTGGGCATTGCACAAGCATCCTGGCAGAGCAGAGCTCCAGTGCCAGCTGTGCATCTGCAGATGTTCACCATCTCCTATGAGCGAAAAGGACTGAAAGAGAGAAAGCTGTTTGAGGGAAAGAGGGCTCTTTTCCACCTTCTAACTCTTCTGGGTCTTCATAGCAACGAAAGGAGGAAGCAGAACTAATGGTCAAGAAGACATCAGACTGGCAAAGCAGATGAGAGGTAGGATAGTGTGATAACAAGTAAGAGGAAGGGCTATGCCACAGAGGGCTTTAAAGTGAGAACTAAGAAGCAGGAGAGAGCTGCACCTCCTGAGGTCTCTGTTTACCCTGGCACTGGTACAGCTCTGGCTGCAGTGGGCAGTTTGAAGCTGTAAAACATTACAAGAAACGTTTTGTGGAGGGAGAGAGTTTTATAAGATGCCAGGGTTTGAGACAAAGAAGTGGCTGAAGCTCCCAAATGGTAACTGTCCTGAAGTATTGCCTTAGCACTTCTAGTATAAATATTAATTTCGGCACAGTGATTTTAGCTTGAGGTTAAAAACAAGATCTCTTTAGTTTTCAGATGCTTGAATTACCAGTAAAATGTTAGATTTCCACAGGAAGCAAACACTTGGTAGAAAATATTTCCTTTAGTCAAAACTCCAGTTCTCTGGCTGAAAAGCATATCTGATGGAAAATTTTCAATCAGTCTAAGCTCCAGGTGTTTGAACGGAGTCCGTAAAAGCCAAAATTCTTTAGTGCAGACCACATTTAATTAGGCTTGTTTGGAAGCTTTCTGGGGCAAAAGGAGAACAGCTAGGGATTTTATTTATTTGCATGTACAAAAGTAGAATTTGAACCCAATGTATTGCCTGAATAATGGCAACCTAATGAAGATAGTGTCTCCTAGTTGAGTGTAGAGAAGATGACAGAAACATATTAGCTCCTCCTGGTAAAACAAGTTTTCCACACATTCTTCCACATTCTCCTGTGGAGCTTCTTCATACATTTTCATCATTACTCTATAAAGCCACCTCAGAATAGAATTTCTGTGCCTGAAAAAATCATGAACAATGATCATGTTCATGAGCAATATCATTCTGTGATAGACTGGATTAAGAGCCAGCTGCAGGATCATCACCTGGCTTGACAGTCTGATCACAAAAAGCTGATGGAGAGGTAGAGTTGGCCTCCTGGGATGCACTAAGTATGGGTAGACATGAACGTTCCAGTTGTTCTGCAGAAGGGAAAGCTGCACCTCTGTCCTTTAATTCATGACCTTTGAAAGCACTAATCCATGAATCCCTACAGAAATCCAAGTATCCTCCTCAGACTGGCACCTAAGCTCACTAATACCTTTGTCAAGACAAAGTTAAATTCTAGAGGCTGTTAATGTTAAAAAGAGAGGAATCATCACTAGGACTGGCCAAAAATATCTTATCAATCTTTTTTCCTGTGAAAAATTATGTTTTTCAACAGAACAAATACCCCTCCCAGAGCAGGTGACAGCATCTACCAGATTCATTACCAGAATGACAGGGGAAAAAGTAGAACAAGGATGTGAATGAAAATATGCTGTGCTATCAAACAAGCGAAAAAAACCTATAACAAATACAGTACAACATGGATCAAAATCATGGTTAAATATACTGTTCCATTAATAGGCTTTGTCGACCCTTCTAAATTCAAGATAAATTATTTGAGGCAGCATAACAGCAAGGATACCTCGGAGTCTTGAAATGTCAGTAAGATCTGTAGGACTGAAGGACATAGACCATGAAATTGGCAGACAGAGCTGGCTCTGTCAGCCAGTTGGTCTTGGGCATTCAGAGCCTCTTTAGATAAGAGTTAGGAAATCCCCAAGTGAGGGAATGAGTACGGGAGAGGCTCACCAAAGACCAAGCCCACAAACAGATAAGGTTTGAGGAAGAGACCAGTGTTGCTAGCAACTGAGAAATCATCCTCAGCAAGTGATAACCACATAAAACAGAGGGCTATCTCCAGTATGGGAACTCAGGATTCTAATAATCCAAACAATTCCCTTTGTTTGAACCAAAACCAAGTTTCTTAATCAAAATTGTCTCTGTCCTGGCTGGTCACGCTCATGCTCAGGTACCTGTACTACAGTCCCATAGCAAAGTTCTTCTCAAGGAGCATTACTTGCAATGGCTCCCAAGGTAAAAACTTGGTTCCATCAAAGTAAGTGAGAATTTGCTTCTGATTTTGTTGAAACCAGAATTTCAAGAAAGGCTAATGAGGACATTTCCATCCTTTGTCAGCAGGTAGCTTTCTTAACCATCGCATTTATCTAGAAGTTGTCTATGAGAGAAGTTCTTCTAGCTAGCTCTATAGTCTCCAAACACGAAGCTCAATGTTTCTCAAAGCAACTGCAACTCTCCCTCCTTTCTCACAAAGTTATGATCCATAAACTGTTCTGCACAGCGGTAATTTCATGTACTGGAGTGGTTCCATACCTCATGTAGTTATAAAGTTAAATATCCACATCCATACTTGAAGAGCAGTGCAGAAATGTTACATACATTTTGGATTTAACACTCAGGTTTTGCAAGAAGAATCATTTTCTTATGTCATTATCTTTGCCTATTGAAATTGTCACCTAATATATTTTTACAGTACGGAAAAAGAATATATTTTGAGTAGGAACAAGTGGTTCATATGTGAATATTCTCCAAAATCTAAACAAAATCAACATATTTCGCTCAAACATTCAGAGAAACTTCCCTTTGAGTTTAGACTGTTAGATACAATTTTAAGCCAAGTGGGTTATTTTTAGAATGTTTGAACAAATGAAAATAGGGAAATCTATTTTTGTTACCTTCTCATCCTTAAATTGTCTGTGAAGGCCACCAGTGCTAGTTCATAATTTTAACACAGTAAAAATGTGTTTCATAACCATATAATCAAGTGTAACACAGAAGATATTGGATTATTATATTAAAAAGCTTCATTTCACAGAGTGGTTTATGACATCTGGAAATCATTTTACATTTGAGTGATAGCAACCTTTCTTCCCTCCTTTTTCAAGCATCTTGTAGTAACAACTTCCCATTGCCTTTTTTCTTTTTCTGCTTTGTCTTCACACATACAATTCCTCTCTCCCATTTTTCTTCTAATGAAAGTGATCCTATAGTAAATAGTGGTTCGAAAATGATGTGTTCTTTATGCAAAAAGTGAGTCACCAGCCTGCTTTTTCAGTTGGCTGAACTGACCCACTTTCCAGGCTCACACATGCTGGACTTAGCGATGCCCCAAGCAAGGCTAAGCCAAGGAAGGGGGAAGGGGGGCAGCGCAAAGCACTGGTGCCACTCAACACACAGCTTCTTAAAATGCTCCTTCAACAGGCAGCAGGGAACACAGAAGGGTGGAGGTGGCAGTCACCCCTCCAGCCCATTGCCCAGCTGACATTTGATCCACTGGTATCTTCTGCCTATGAAAAAACACTGTCCCTCCCCACTCCTCACAGCAATGTACTCTGTACTGCACTTCGGTACACACCACAGCCACCACTGGCCTTCTCCTGGGACACCAAGTGATGGGTAGGGATGGTTTGACCCATGCTCAGCATCCTTTCTGGAGCCAGTCTTAACCATGAAGCCTCCCAACCAGGGGTTTCTCACTGCAGAGAAAGAGATTATATCTCTCCTGTGTCAGTGGACCATAGGAGGAAGGGACTCCTTCTTCTACCTCATCACTAGCACGTATGTTCAGAGGGAGATGCCTCCTGATGAATATGATACTTAACTGTTTCTGAATGGGTTTCCTCCTTTTCCTCCCAGCATATAGGCATTCCCCTGGAGGAATCATTGTTTTGATGCTGAAAAACAAAAGGAATAGATTTCTTAGTTCAGAGGTTTCTACGTTTCATACCACTGTACAAAATGACAGCACCAAGAAAGTTCAACTGAGGAAAATGTTTGTTCCTTGAGTGTGGCATTCAACAGCACTAAAAAGCACAGTGGCATTAGTTAAGATAGAAGCTTAAGCTTATTCCAATTTCCTACCTTAATATTATTAGAATATTGATGTTTATATTCAATTTTCATTTTTTCAAATTAAGCATACTATACATGGTATACAAATGGGTACAAAATACATCCTGTTTACTCAATATCCAAAATTAATTTTTTTTCTTTCTAGGCTCATTTTTAAATTCAGCTAAACGAATAAGAATGAATAATACTACCCATCATCTTCTGCTGGAAGATTTCACAGCTTTTTAAATATACAGAAATATTGTCTTCCATTACTGACACTGTGATAAGTAGGATGCAATTATTCAAATCAGCATTTTTCCTGGTCTTCACATCCTCATTTTTAAAGACTGGAAGTTTATCTGTTGGCAGCTCAAGAAGTGACACACAGTATTGTGGTTAGCACTAGGATCCAATGCAGTGATGAAGGTGATGATTTTCAGACAAAACTTAACCCTATTGCTCCTTTTGAGCCTTAAGGGCATACATTGCAAGCTCTGAAAAAAAATTCTTTTCATTCAGTTTGTTTAAATCTTCTGGTGATTAGCTGAATAACAAAGTCTCTTGATTTTCTGTCTGAAAGAGTATTTTAGAGTTGCTGTTCAACTGTAGGTGCATGCTGCCTGAGAGGTTACTATATCTCAAGAGTATGTGGTGCTTTATGTAAGATGTAAAATTAAGCGGACCTCCTATGTCACTGAATCAAATCCTATGCTTTTGAAGACACCTATATCATATAATGCAAATCATAAACTTGCTGAACTTCATTTAAAAACCATTCAGAAGAACTTTGCTTTTCATTGAAAGACAGCTTTCTGATAACTAGAAACCTTTTGCTTTCCAACTTAAATTTGTTCATGGTCATTTTATGCCCATTTGTTCTTCTGCCAACATTGTCTTTTGGTTTAAATAGCTCTTCCTCCTCCATTGTGTTTACTCATTGGTGTATTTTTAAATACCAGTCATATCTTCAGTCAGACTTCATTTTTCTATTCTAGGACAACCAAAACTCATTTACTCATCTCTCATGTTACAAGCTCTGCATTCTTCCCATCATCTTAGGAGCCTCTTCTATCTCATTTCGACCAATTTGTTTAACACATAGTCATGCACAGTATATTAAGTGAATTCTAAAAGTATTTCATCCATCCCATTCATACAATTAATTTCCAGTTCATCTTTGTTATGTGAGAATTGTATGCTCTTCAGTATTGATAGTGCAAACAACTAAGTTTATTGCTACACTCCTGGTTTTGCATGAAATTTCTTAGTAAAGATATGATTGTCTCCAAACTGAGAGTTGAATAACTCTACTTGTTGTTTCCCTTCTGATCAGTCATTTTCCTTTTGGCATATGCTGTTGACCCAGTTCCTTCCCCCAACCCTTTCAGTTCTTTACTACTCCTCAGCAGCACAGTATTTTTTGCTAAATGCAGATAGATTACGTGGACTGTATTTCCCTGATCTGGAAAATCAGTTATTGTATCAACAGAAAGCTACCAGGTTATTTTTTCAAAGTCATGTAAATCTACATTCCATTTTTATTCTATTACACAACTAACCACAGACATTAATGGTTCTTTCCTTGAGAATTCATTGTAAAATGATGCATAGTACAGAGATCAGAAAAACAGGTCAGTAGTTGCCTTTTCTCAATAATAGTTGATGGCAGAAACACCAGTCTCCAATTGGAGCAGTTTCAGGTATAGAGTTCACCCAGAAATAAACAATATCATTTTTTCACTATTACTGGGAGAATTTCATGAGACATCAGATGCTGAACCACCTGGCCAAAGTCTATGAGAGACAGTCTACAGTGCAATAAATACTGGTTAAGAAAGTTTGTTATCCCACAGCCTTTGCTTAAGTAAAGCCTTCTTGCCACCTTCAAAGACCTTGTTAGGTTAGGCTAGTCTCAAGCTCATTTTTTGCAACAATCTGCCAATTTTTAAGATTTCATCTACCCTGTTGTGTTTTCTGCTCCAGTGGGAAGCCAAAATGGTGTGAAGAAGCCAAAAGAATTGCTGCGGTTTCTTGTGAGACCTTACATTAAAAGGTATTTTCTTTATATTGTAATACTTTTGTGTTCTGAGTCTTTCCCATCCATATTATGAATCTATGACTCATAGTTCGTGTTTCAAAACAGTGTCACATGCTAGACTTCCCTTCTCTTGCCTTCATGAGCAAAATTACAAGGAGAAAGACTTGGACAGCATAATTCAACTGAAAACTGAAAGTTAAGAGTTCATTCTATTTCCCAAAAGGACCACTTTGTTTTAAAACCATTCTGGTTCAGTTGATTAATATGTGACAGCAAATAGAAATAAATTAAAAGACCAGTATTCAAACAACTGAAAACCAGGAAATAAACAGCAAACAATATGAGCTAGAACTTATGAAGTGTAAAATTCTGGTTAAGAAAGATAAAGGCCCAAAGGAAAATTCACAAGTTGCAGTGCTAAAGAGAAAAGATAGTGTGCTATTTAGAAGAATATTGTGAACAAAAGAAGTCTAAAAATTGTGTAGAGTGCTTATTAGATGGAGATGGCTGTATGTTAGAACTGCATAAAAGGTAAGAGTGTTCAACAGATTTATTTCTAGTCTCTGAAAAGAAGGAGAATCATGCACTTGCATCAAATAATACACCATGCACTCTTCAGGCTTTCTGCAGGAACTTTCTACAGAATTAGGACAAGAGGTTACCACAGCAACATGGTATGAAGCACTGCCTCAGCTACTGAACACCAAAGTCCTAGATATGTGTACAGCCGAGAGGTGCTTCTGCTACTACCATCAATGTCAATAGTGGCATGCAGATAAAATTAATTTGAGAATGAATGTACAAGAATAAAAAACAAGTCAGAAGGCTCATGGCTAGTGGTTCTAAAAATATGGCTGAAAACAGCACTTGAAGCACATGAGCTGCACAGAACCATAGACCAAGAAAATACTGCCTTCAAAATCTGGAGAAGAGCACATATTCATGGTCCTGCCTGGACCATGCCCTCTTCTGATCATCTGTGAGCTCTGCTCTCCACTGCTGGGACAGAAGAGCCCGTCTCCACTGCTGCAGGAGGCTGGGGGCCTACCAGCCCACCAGCCTCATGTGTGAATGTTGGGAGGATAGTTCTCAGTTGCTCGCAACAATTGTTCTCTTTCTTTTCTCTTTTTCTCTGTAACACTTGAGAGTCCTCACATGCTCTCTTCCTGTTTGAGAGGGGGATGAAGACAATCCCAAAGCATCAACCTTCCACCCCTCCAGCAGCAGAAGAAGGGACTTACAAACTTGAGGAGCTGCAGGAGGAGGGGAGCTAGGACTGAAAAGAACAGAATTTCTGGGAAAGGGCAGCTATGAACCATGATCATTCACTTTCTTATGTCAGATGCTTTTAATCACTGCTGACATTAAGTTATAATGAATCTCTGAACACTGGGGAAATCCGAAGGACTGAAAGACAGCTGCTATATGACAATCGTCAGAAAAGGGAAACATAATGATCCAGCTAACCACCGGATGATGAGACTGATATCCATCTCAAGCAAAATGCCAGAAAAGTTGATAAGAAAGAAAAATGACATCACTTAGCAGAATTCCATGGAATATCATGCATTTCGGAGTGAAACTTCTGCATGGAGAAGTTATCACCTCTAGGTGATAAAGAAATTCACTTGTATTAGTAAATCATTTAACTTAGCACAACATTCTGATTTTTAAAAGCCACAATGAAGTATTACAGTGCATAGTTGTCATAAGTAAAGAATTGTTCAAGATAAAAAAAAAAATCGTAGAGAAATCACTGCTAGATAGAAAGTTTTTAATAGATTTTACATTTTTCAAGGTTCAATACAAAACCATTGGTGGTAACGTTTGCAAAGTTATACAAATTTAGAAGAGTGGTAAATAATGCAGAAGACATAGTGAAATAGAGCAATCTGGAGTGTCCAGTAGGTTGTTTCTCTTTATCCGTTATGAATCTTAATACTGCCAAATGCAAACGCTCACGTATCAGAATAGAGAATGGGGACGGCACCCTGAAATGCCAGTGATTCGTGAAAGGGATTAGGGATCAAAGTGAAAATTGAATACAATCCATACTCTCAGCTCCCAGGGAGGAGCTGCTGCAAAGGCAGCTAATGCAGTTGCTGACCTAAGTGAAGTGATTTTACTTCTGTTTACAGATATAATGAGACTGATGCTGGAACAGCGTGTACAGTTCCCACGTAAGTGCTTTTCAAAACTGTTAGAAATTGGAAAAGGCGAGGAAAAAAAGCTAAAAACAGTACTTGCAGGCTGAAGAAACTGCCTTGCATAGAAAAAATAATTAGGCAACTTGAGTAAAGTGAAGTAGTATCACGGAGAAGGTACTGGTACTGAATTATTTTGATCTGAAACATCGCAAGCACTGAGAAAGTGAAGCTGAAGCCAGATACATCCAAATAAGAAATAAGGCATTAATCTTATTTGTGAGTATTGTGAGTAAATACTCATTGTGAGTATTTAAACACTGGAGCAAGCTACAAACTTGGATTTAATGGATCCTCCATCTCCTGCTTTCTTGAAGTCAATGTTAGGTGTCTTTCTGCAATGTGCACTTTACCCTAACAGAAGTTATGTTTAAATTAAATGCAAGCAGTTGGGCTGAATGCAGGCATACTCAGAAAAAAAAAAAACTTGGTAGCTTTGGTAGCTATAGGAGGTCAAATTACATTATCCAATGATCTCTCCTTTCATTAAATTTTATGAATCATTTCCTGACCGAATGTGATCGCATACCATGCATTCAATGCCTGAACTACAGAAAAGGGCTGTGCAGACCACAGCTTCGAAGGGGCGCAGGTTTCG